CTACCTTCTGGAATGGGGCAGACACATCACGCCTTAAAATTCCCTGCAAGTAGGAGCAAAACCATTCCAGCCCAAAGCATGTTGGAGAAATCAGATCTTCTTAGACTTCAGCAAGTTATATATAATTTAGACTTTTAACTAAACAATGCTTGGAATATTCTTCAAAATGTGAACCTTTTAATCCAGGAAAAAAACCCCAATAATCAGGGCTCAATGAACAAAGTGCATATTAAAGTGGATCCTCTGCAAACCCAACAAGTATCTTGAAATACCTCTAATGGCACTAGGGTGAGCCAGTCGCTCTTCCAGTCTAGTCATGATGAGAGGAGGTAGTCATTAATATATCAGAAAAGAGAAAAAAAATGGAAGACTGTGGAACTCTTATGAAAAGTCACAGCTGTTTTTCCATAATTACAATTGAATGTTAGTTTGAAGAAGGTTTAAACATTTGAGCCAAGAAAAATCATTATAAATTTTCTGCTGTAAATGCTGAAATACAGTATTTTTTTCCTCTGAAATGCAGCATCATTTTCTACAGATCCACCTGGTGCTACCTCCATATGCAAGATGGTCAGCAGGTTATTACTCTGGCCTTGACACATGGAAATGCAGTCACTATCAGGAACTTCAAGAGAGGAATTTCAAATTCAAGATATATGGAACTGAGGATTTTCACAATGTTAACCTTTACAAAAGCACAATATAGGGGAACCAAGCTGAGTTTCAAACTTTTCCTTTCCCAAGATAGTATGTTTTTACTCCAGTTACTTCCTTGTGGCCCCTCTGATTTAGGGGTTTCTGTCTCAGCATTAAGAAATTGTTATTTTGGAAACAAATTTGTGTGAACTCTAAAATTTGATGTGCTAACATCCATAATCCAATTTTGCCCTTACAGAATTCCTGTACATGTAGGATTCAAACAAGGTTTAGAACTGGTACTTCCTTTCTGCCCACAGTTTTCATCTTTAACCTTAAGCATCTTTAAGTATTTTGGCTACACTAACTAGAAATCAGTGAGAGGCATAACAAGTTCACTCAACAGAGCCTACACAATCTGGATACAGCTTTTCATCCTGAAATACTCCCTTTCTTGTCACTACTAGAAGAAAATTGATTGCTGTTTTGCAAGTGAAACTATTTCATCCAGTGCTAGAATCCAACGACAGACTGTCATGTTAAACAAACACCAAATCAGAGTTACTATAGACTCCAAAAAAGTCACCTGGAATTAAAAACAAACAAACCAAAACCCCCAAACAAACCACGTAAGCACAGAACACAGAAGTATCCAGAAGCACTGTTTTAACAACATGAAGACGATTAAGCAGTAAGATTTTTAGCTGATCCTGTAAAGAGTATGTATGAAGAGCACCTTCAAAGAAATGTCAAGTCTTTACTCAAATTTCAGATTAGAGCAGCAGGAAACATAGTATATTTAGGAAGACTTGTAGTGAGCAACAAAACCTTATGTCTTCAGTTCTGTGTTGTGAAGATAATTAAATCACACAACAATCTACACAATGGAGGAATGGCATTCAGATCAGAATTTCTTTTCTTTTTTTTTTCCCTTAAAACAACAAACTCCTTAGGTGATATAGGAAGATCCAAAAGACACTTATTTTGCAAAGACAATCCTTTAAACATAGTATAAACCTACTCAGACATCTTGTACAGATAGACAACCTACAGACATCTTGTACAGTTTCTCTCATTACTTATACTTAACAAAGGAAAATTTGTCTTGTTCAGAATGCAGTAACCGTGAAGCTGCTAACAGCTCCCATCCCAACACAGCTGATCAGCATAGCTCTAAAAAAGCAGCAGAGAAGGTGTTCACTGAAGCTCTGAAAAGAAAGGACAACAAACATGACCTGCTCACTGCAGGCAAAAGCTTAAAGGGAAAGGTTTCATAGATCCCACAACAAAATACATTTGCATTAAAACCAAGACAAAATGTTAAAATCAGACAAAGAAAATGCCACAGCTCATTCTGACTTGGACAAAACTGGCCACAAGACTTCACCACAAGACCCTGTAACAAAAATACTATGAAAAAACCCCCATGATTTTCTTCTGAGATATACTGAATCTTTCAGAAAAATGCTCAAAGATATGGGGAGAGAGAGAAAAATTACTCCTTCCTTGTAAATGCCTAAAGAGACTCTTGGATTGATTCAATACTGTGGCTATCCCTCCCATTCATAACTTGATAAAATTTCAAACATGTCTATACAATTTAGTGACAATATTACCTTGTCTTTTTGAAGTTCAATGCAAATAAAGGCATGATTTTAAAATTTAAAATTTTCTAAAACAATACAAAAAGTTGTATGGACTTTCAGTTTGCAAAGAATTAATTGTAACTTAATGTGAGTCAATTTTATTGAGTTTTGTAATGAATGGGAATTAGCCCCTTAAGACAGAACAACTATCTAAATGGTGTTTTGAACTAGCTGAACAACCGTAATTTAAACTGCATTTCAGAGAAATTATAGCAATGATGTTGTACATGACAAATCCAGGAGAAGACATTTTCTTGAGAAGGGATGGATGAGAAAGCAAAAAAGAAAGGACAAGAGATACAAGGGTAATGAAATAAGAGAAAGTAAAATATACTAAGCTACATGGCATAAGAGGCATGTGAGAAGTTGAATAATGATGCTAAAAGGCAACACTGGAAAAGAATTGCTACAATCTACTAAGTAGTATAGGATGAACCAAAAGAAGATGTATGAAAATTACAGATCCTAGTGTATTAAAAAGTTTATAACTAAAAATGGCACCAGGTAAAACTGTGAACACTATTTCAACTGGATTGAGGACACCATGTCAGTGGCATGAATACATCTGCATCAGTTAGCTGTTGACAAATAGACTTTGCCTTACAAAGAGAGATTTTATAACATACGTATTTTTTCAAACACTGAAATTCACCTGATTAATAAACATAATGTGCTCTAGGAAGTAAGCTATCAGAAAAAAAACCCACAGAACGAAATATACACATCAAAAATCTGTAGTTCAAGGACACTTTCTCCAAAATCTGCCTGCTGAACACTCACAACATGATTTGTAAGATAAAAATAGTTACATTATTCTTTTCATGAAACCTATTTCTAGTACCATTGTAAGAACTATATTCTGAATACAACTGCAAAAAGACTCATATCAGATTTAAACAATTTTTCCCTGTAAAACGTGTCCCAAGTTACTTCAAAGGGCAAGAAATGCAAGAAAATGATGACTTCAGAAAAAAAAAATGCAGAAAAACATTGTAGAGAAATTTTAAACCTGATGTTAAAATCAATGCATTGCTCATCTGTGACAGCTACTAGAATCACACCAAAAGTCACTAAAACCTTTACACATTACTACAGCATTCTACATACATAACCACATATACAGACTACAAGAAAAAAGTAATTCAGAAACATTTTGGAAAGCACACATGCACTGCCTATTGTTCAAAAGACTTGTAAGTAACTGATTTTCTACACATAAAAATGTGTGAATTCAAAATCTATCCTACTGAGACTAGACCTGAGTTCCATCAGAAAGTTTGTAGCATTTCCTATCATGAACATAAGGGTTTCAACTGAAAGCTTCAGATTAAACTGAGAGCAAAAATATCATAATTTATGGCTAACTCTAGATACCTATTATTAGAAATTGAAATTTTGCCTCTTTTGAACTTCATAAAGGGGTAGGGATAATGTTCTTATTTCCAGGACAAATAAAAATCCCTAACAAGGAGGCTAATATTTTACAAAGATGTAAAATACATCACAAATTATTATTAAGGCTTTTTAGAGTTAATATAAACTGGTTAGTAGATAGAAAACTACTAAAAAGGCATAGCACAAGGAATTAATGATACAGAAAACACCTCTTTACAGGTGCACATAAAATAGTCATACATTCATGAAGATGATTTCTACACAATTTCTTACCAGATTAGCTATGTAAGAAAATGTTTTCATCTTGAATTCATTATACACCTGGAAATGGATTTATACATCATCCTGCATACAATTGTAAACCCCTCCTCTGGCTTTTGTCTGTATTTTTTAAGACACAACAACTCTATAAACATGACTATATAAGCAATTTAAATTCTTTAATGTTAAATGTTAGAAAAAGGAAACCTGACCAGTAATACTGATTTCACAGTGTGAAATTATCTACTTCAGTCTGAAACCAAAGAAGCCAAGATGAAAGTACCAAGAAAAAAAAAGGATCTTATTTTTAAAAAGTGTTAAATCTGCAAAAGAGACAATGAGTTGAATATCAAACCTACAAGCTATTCTAAATTATTTCCTGTCCATATTACTAATTTCAAAATGCTAGCTAATCATTCAGCTTTCTTCTTTGCATATAACGGACATTAGAGACAATGACATAAGAAGTCTCATACAGACCAAACGTTTTTCTAAGTTACTGTCACAAAGTCTCAAGTATGGGATCACCTCAACTGATTTGTATCTACAGTGTTAAAGAGGTAGATGGGACTCTGCAACTATGTTCTTACTACCACCATATCAAAACATGCTTTGGAAAAACCCATTTCACTTCAAATTAAACACAAAAAGAATCTTAGGGCTTGCATACTTAGTATTTCCCATCATTCCAGCTACAATATTTATAGTAGTGGCAGTCCTTTATACAGACACAGCTAAACCAGGTAAAATTATACACACAACAGTTACATTTCACCAGATAAATTACTATATAAAACTAATGCAGCTGAAGTACATCTTAAGACCACTTAAGTGTTGCCAGATTAAGTACTTGTACTGCAGTAAATAAATAATTTCAGGTACATTTGTAGCAAGATTTCTGATAATGAGAAGTCCTTAGAAGAGTTTCACTTTATTTCTCACTATATAAGCAAGCATATAAACTATCAAATGCTTACATTTAATTTCTAACAGCAGAAATAGAAAATCTACAAGAACTCAAGTGTAAAAGATATAATGCAATTAATATTAAAACAATCTTACCTTTATTAGGTTTGGATGACTTGTTCTTGTTAGGTTTAAAACAAGAGCCCCTTGATTTATCTTCTCTGTCCTTAATAAATTTCTGCACGTCATCCAAAGAAAGCTTTTGAAGGACAACTACAGGCTTAGCTCCTTTATTTAGATCTTCAACTAGCCCAATCTTCTCTACTTTGTCTTTATGTTCACCTCTAAATTCAGTTTTCCTTGACTCCTGAGTAACATTGCCATCTTTATCACGCTTGATTTTTGGAATGACAAAATGTTTCAATGCGCCAGATCTTGCCCCCAACAAATAACTGGGAAACTCTGCTTTACTGTCAGCATGTGCTTTATTACTATTTACTTTACTCTTATTACCATCTGTCCTTTGTTCATCCTTGCTGTTTTGTGATTTAAAGCCAGGTTTATCAGGTCTTGATTTATTAGAATCTCCTCTACCTTCTTGTTTAATGCGAGGGCTGTCAGGTCTTGCTTTCTGATCCCCAGAAGAAAACCTTTCCCTTGATTCACCAGACTCATGTCTATGTTTCCTTGCAAATTTCTCAGGTTTTGAACCATCAGATTTAATACCATGCTTAGAATCATGTTCATTTTTGTTTGAGGATCTCAAATATTCAGGCCTTCTGATCTTGGATGGATCTCCTCTGTATCTCTCTGACTCTGCCCTGTCCTCAGATCTTTGTTTAAGGCTGTCATGGTCACGCCTTGGTGTATCAGAAACTGAGCGCCCATCAGGCCTCAGTTTTGTTGGATCAGGTCGACCTTCAGGTTTCATCCTTGGAGGATCAGATTTCACCTCTAGTTTGTGCCTAGATATTTCCATTTTCTTGTCTGACAAAGGTTTACTGGGGTCCCTCCTATTATCATGTTTGTGTTTAGGTGTTTCAGGCCTCCCTTCACTCTTCTGTTTTGGTGTTTCAGGTCTGCCTTCACTCTTCTGTTTCGGCGTTTCTGGCCTTTGCCGTATTTCCTGTTTGCCATTATTTTGTTTTCCCTCATTTTGCTTCATCTCCATTTGCCTGCTTTCGTTTTGTTTCAATTCTGTCTGTCTGTTCTCATTTTGTTTCATTTCCATTTGTCTGCTTTCATGTTTCACTTCTAACTGCTTGCTCTCATTGTATTTACTTTCCAACCGTCTGCTCTCATTTTGCTGGAATTCCATTTGTCTGTTTTCATTTTGCTGGATATCTGTCTTTTGACTTTCAAAGTCTGACTTTTTCCTAAAAATTTCTGGATGGTTTTCAGGTTTAAATTTAAGAACTCCAACAGTGTCTTCTTGGGGAACACACATAAACCCGTCATTATACTGCTTAATTTCTTCAGGTTTTTTGATGGTGTCCAAATCCTGAGTTACTGTTGCCTGAGAGTCTGCTCTTCCTGCTTGCTGCAGATCAATACTAACCATCAGTGCTGGCCGTGCCCCATTTCCTGCAGAACCTGTCTCCTGAGAAGCTGTTCTATTTCCTCCCGTAGCACCTCCAGCCTCTGGGGGTTTGTTTTCTTGTTTTCGCTTCTTTAGAGGCTTATCTGGAAGTTAAAAGAGAAAAAAAAATCACAAATTATATATAAAAACTGATAAATGTTCAAGAAGTATGTCCATTCCCTTCCACTCCCACAATGAATCCTCCACAGCATGGATGTGCACACAAAACAAAATCCGCTGAATTTAAAAGCAAGAATAGGACTTCTCTAACTAACACTTTTTCATGTATTCAGACTACCATTCATTGTCCGTCTCCCACAAATGCCAGCTAATCATTAAAAAAACCTTCCCTCAAAACATATGAAATCAAAGGTCCTGTATCATTCCTAAGAGAACCACCTAATAAAGCAGCTGGAATACATAAGGACCAAAAAAACCCCACCTCATTTAAAAAAACCCCAAACTACTCAATTACACTTGAAGCAGAAGTCTGAAAAGTCAAAGTTAAGGTGCAGCTCCACAACTAGTTTTTGAGGAATACTACTACAGAAGACACCTTCCCCAGATTCAACCTGCTTTATTATGCAAATACTAAGCAAGGGTCTGCAATGATTATTACCGAGGTTTTCCCTACTTGGTTCAGTGGATCAGCTGGACTTCACACATATTTTACTCAGGGAACACACAAACAATGAACAAAACTGATAAAGTAGCTATTCCACCCCTCCATGCTTCTCTTTCAAATAAAGTAGTAAACTAAGGGTTGTAGTCTCTACCTTAACACATGCATATGAGGTGAGGGACCACTATACACTTAAAAACTTGAGTAATTTTCCCTTTGCAATCATAATGTTTTTTATAGAGGAAACACAAAGTGTAGTGATAATTTTTTGTCAAGAACCTGACTCTGCAATAAGCATTTCAGTTTACACTAAAAAAAATTAGGAATAGAATACAGAAAAATTAAGCCAACCACCTGCAATTTGGTAGAATTCATAGCAATGAGAAGCACATGGAAGTATCCAAAAGAGTATATTCTACCCATATAAAATGACAACCCATTTATATTACCAACACAGAACTCTAAACTAAAAATAACTTCTGCCATGCAAACTAGATGCTCTTCCTGCACTAAGGTTTATATTCTAATTTCTCAACTACCAGTGCATAATTTGTTGAAAAAAAATTACTTTCTCTGTAATCAGGGAATATGATTATAAGTCTAAGGAATTACTAAACATAGATCTATTGCCAAAATGCCTAGACCACAAATGCAAAGCAAGAAAAATACCGTACTTTGTGTCTAGGTTGGTGGTGCCTTATTACTAGATGCAATGAACCAGCTCTCCCACTCAGAGAGGGTGAATGAACAGTAAGGAGGATGCAATCAAGAAACAGGGAAATAAATGTCAATGAAAAAAACCCACGCAGTCCTCTGGAACTGTAAACCAGAATCAAAACATATGAATTCTAATTTCTGGTAAATTTTTAGAAGATTCTTCTTTAGAAATACTTTGAAGGATCACCTCCAAAATTAAAATTAGGTCACAATAACAAGCAATAACATGGCCAGTTCCAGTGATGTGAACAGGCTTCTTCCCCTATCATTTTAATCCTCAAATCTATTTGGATATCTCTAACTTTCTAAAACTCAAAAATTTTGTACAAGATTTAATGGCTGGAAGACAGTAAATACAGGTACAATAAACTCCATGCAGAAACTGATCAACTGCAAATAAAGAATTTTGCAAAGCCCAATAGAAGCCTGTAGGAATGAATGCCAACTTTATGATAAACATGTGCGGCAAAACAGAGTTTCCAAATCAAAGATGCAGCTTCTTAGCATGGAGATTTTTGCTTTTTCTATGTTACAGCAACTGCTGGATTCATATGAGGACTTACACAGATGAATTTTTCTTCACTATGGATTAGAACAAATATACATACATCCACACACATTGTTACCTTACTTCTCAATTAAAACCCTTTACATTTTGAAATTTAAGTTCAGAAACTTGTATTCTTAGGAGAAAGTTGGTCAGCCTTGTCATTTCAGTCCAGAAATGCCAGGCACACAAAAAAAAAGTCCTGAAAAGCTCAGATGGTGGATCGAACAATAATCTTTAAGATGTTACTGTTATTCATTATCTGCCCCATTTCTTTAACTGAAGTTACCATCTGTAGCAGAAGGGAACATGCATTCATATTTCCATAACTATTGTCTAATGCATCACCATAAGGCACTAGTGAAGGTGGTTAGCATTAACCTAACAGGCTGAATGATTCAGCTTTAAGCAAGAAAATGCATTCCTCTCTTATTTTCTACTATAGGAGCAGATGGCCATGAGCTGTGATGCCTTAGACAGCTGCAGCTGGATCAACCAAAACTCACCTTTCAGAGCCCTCATGCTGAAGGCACCAAGAACAAACAACCAAAACAATTCAAGTAGGGCAAATTTTCTTGCTTGGACTTCTGTAAGTGACAAGGCTCAACATGCTGCTGCTCTTCATCATCCAAAATGTCAAATTGTAAGTTGAGAACACATAAGTAGATGATCACATCACAACTTGGTACACATATTCCCTTTAAATACATAGCTCTTCTGATGCACATTCTTCATTTTCTTGACATTAGAATACTTATGTTTTAGGAACTTGACATCTTGCCTGAGAAGAAAGGGCAGTTTCTTCATAGTTTTATTTTCTTAGATGGCAAGGTGATTGCAGACAGAGTTACAGATCACTCACAGATTTCTTCTTATTTCCAGTACATCTTGAAAGTGAGCCTCAAAACTGGACTCAATCATTACCACTTTGCCTCTATGAGAATTCTGGATCTAGGACTAAAAAAGCTGTCCTAAGTATAAGAAAATATCCAGTTGAACTAGGTCAAAAAGGTAGGATGAATACATAGTACCACTGCCTTCATAAAGCATAATGAATAAAAACTCCATTGAATAAGTACAAAAATTTAAGCTTACATAATAGCTACAAAAATTTGAAAGCTGAAACATATCCTTGCATTCTGAGGGCTTCATAAAATCTTGAACTCACTTTCAGCTATACAAGAATTAGAGTAAGTGAGGTGAGAAGAGAGTAGTGAACCTCTAAAAACAGATGTCTTCAGATCTTCTCTTTTACAGTCAAAATGCAAGTTTGCATTTAGCTTCTTTGTTAAGTCATGAGTCCCAAAATGAACAGATGAATTTTTACAATATCCATTGAAATATACTTCATATCCTTCAAAGCATCAGTATTCAAACTTCATTCCATAGACAGTAGCATTTTTTGGGGGGGAAAAATATTGGGATCTAGGACTTGACCAAAATATCAGACTAATGTCTTTCTTTGAAATCTTACAGACCTCGATCTGAAGCTTGTTACAGTTCCAAATATATTGGCTCACAATCTCTTTAGTCCAACAAAGTGTGATCAGGATGCTTTGCTTCTGTCTTTGTAACAGTTTTCATAGTAAAAGGAGTATATATTAAGTTACAAAAGAACTTTCTAACTATATTAATGATTTGGTATACTAGTTTGTTGGTTTCAGATTATTTTCAGAACAATTATTCACTCCACCTTTCTCTGAGGTTGTAGATATACTCATAATCTACCTACTTTTTTTCAATTCCTTTAACAAATTTATGGTTGTTCAGAGAACAACCTTGTATGAATCCTTCTGACTTAGCAAATTTATAAGAATGTTCTTTCTACCTTGCAACATGCTCACCAAAAGGCAGTACTTTGGAACTCAAAGATCATAAACTACACTATACTAAAAAATAGTCGAGCTGTTCTATCAAATGAAATCATTCACCATGGCACAGAAACAAAACATTACTGGAACCACAAGGTTGACATGATAAAAAAATTAGCTGGATTTCCAAGTGGTACTCTCCCACCAATCCTCTTATGAACAGTATTCCTGGAGAGAAGGTTATGGCCTTCATCTTTGGAAATATCTGCGTATCAAAGTTATGAGTACTTTAAGATTTAGAATTTAATTAATTAATTAATTAATTACTGTGGAACCTCTGTGCAAAGAACCACATTGCACTGAAATAACCACAGACATCATGAGATAAATTTCTGCTGAAACTACAAGGCAATCATGATTTGAAGACCATTCATCCTGAAAACAGATATGCTTGGAAGCTGAGGAAGTGTTAGAAGCAGCAGGTGGACAAGGAGAGCTGTATTATAAGTGTTTCTCTATTCTTTTACTCACCCTGGAATCCTTCCAAAGCAACAGTCAAGATACCATTAGCACTGAAACCCTCTATGTTACTGCTTCCTTGCAAGTCTGATGATTACCTTAAATCCCAGAATAAACTCTTTGAACAACTGAGTATAATTGGACGATACTCAGTTCTACAACTGCCTGATCTATCAAATTGAAAATGGGCCCTTCGTAAGTATCTATGAAAAGGTAACAAGTCTAAATAATAACCATTAGCATGGTTGCTAAGCTTTCTTTTAGCAGAATGGTAACACTTCCCTCTATTAATACTGTTTGGTATACTTATAAAAAGACATAACAGATAAATTTTTGCTTCCCCATGTAGTACCCTGCAAGGGAGTCAGTGGAAGACTTCATATTCAAAATTATTAAATGTGAATGTTCTCCTCTTTAGGGACACAAAAAAGATTGATCCTCTTATGCTGAATTCTGGATGAACCATTTCAATGGTAATTGAAAGTATAAATTTTCTTTCTGTAAAGAATAAGCTTTAAGAGTTTTACGTCTTTAAACCTCTAACTCTTCTAATCTCTCATATCAGAGATTACTGGGGTATGCTTCCACTCATCTGAAATAGCACTTATTTAATTATATCAAAAATTAACAAATTTAACTCAAATATACTACTTCTAAGAGGTTATTACATATTGTCAAACCTTCTATTTTTTAACAACATCAGAGATAAGTCAGACAGAGGCCAATTATAAGCTGATCTTCTTTAAGCTAGCAATGAAGATTAGAAATTTTCAAGAAATCAAATGACACATAGCTAAATGTTCAAATAACAAACATAAGTCTACTGTCAACTGTTTACTTTTCTTAGTTATTTTTCACAGATCTCTTTGAAGCTGTCTAACTGCCCTG